TTTGTTGAAACCCATTTAACTTAATATTGTACCTTAAAAAACATAAAAAGATTTATTTTTGTCATTTTTGATAATTTTGTTCCGAAGTTAAACAGTTAAAAAGTAGGAAATTGTGGATTTAAAAGCAGATTAAAGGATGCAATACACAACTTCTGCAAACATAAATCTGTTTGCTGTCAGTGCTGAATATCAGAGCTAAAGTAATCTGATATTAGCCAGTTGACATTCATAATCACAGACAAGTTTTTGATTCCATCCAGTCTAAGGATATCAAACGTATTGTAGATATTATGAGCCAATTTTAAAATACAATGTGTTTTGTGTGTCTCCTAGTAACAGGGTACAAATTTGTAGTATTCAAAATGACTTCTTAGCGTATGATGCCCATCTTACAGTTTTCCTTTGTAACCATTAACAAAGTTGGCTTTGTTAATGTATTCCATAAGTAGCACTGAGTCTTATTCATTAGGCTGTTTTGGAACACAATAAAGCAATAATATTTTGACATTATTATTTGATTCTGTGCAGGTTGGTTGGACAGATTGTACTCAACTATTTGTGGGGCTTTAAATGTTATGAAGGACTCACTGTGCAGCGTTCACTGACAGAGTATGTCACATTAGGTTGCAGGCTTGGGACATTAAGAGTAGGAGCTATTTTACTGGAGAATCTCAGACGGGGCCTGAAATGTGAAAGCACAGTTTAGTTTGTAAAATAAAAAACGATAAGGGCATTAAAATTTAAATGTAAGCTTTACTTATGATATCTACATGCTTTCTTATGCTTTCTCACTTTCTTTGTGGGTCTCCTTCCTCTGTGGGGCTCTGGGGCTCTGAGCGTGGAAATGCCGTCTTCAAAGTGTCCACTATGTTCTCCACCATCTTTTTTTAATGGAAAATATTTTTCAGAAGACAGAAAAGTTCAAATAACGATATATTTTCTAAAAACTGAATACAATCAAAAAAATATTTTATGACCTTGTCTATGCGAGAACCCGACGGCTTCTTCTGGAAAGATGCTGTGGCATCTGTGTTGAGGGCAAGGAACTCCTGCACCTCTTCGCTGTTAGCTGCCTCTGGGATGGTGCACAGTTTCTGAAGGAATGGAAAAAGAAGGTGTGTGGGAGATTCCAGGGTTTCGCATAAAAGTCACATTTTATTTGCTAAAAGTTTTATTAGAGAAGGGAAATCTCTCACCCTGAGGAATGATTCCAGTTGGCTTCTCCTGGCTTCCACTTTGTCTGAGTCTGGGTTGCTGAAGGGAAGGTCTGGGAAGAGTTTCTTTGGGCCTTTGACATCTTAAATGTGAGCACACATTTTTATTATGGATCAAACTCAAGATGGTGCACCTAAACTGCCAACATGCTTGGTTATGACAACTTAAAGATAGTATAATGTTTACTTTAGCAAGACTAGGTTTGAGTCTGTATGGTACTACCCCCAATAAGCAAAAATGCACTGACTGCTTAACTGTTCAAATGTTTAGGGTTGGTGTTTAGGGTCAAATGTGTGTTAAAGATAAATAACTATAAATTTAACTATAAATAAACTATAAATACTTAAAAGAAATACAATTAATTATATATATATATATATATATATATATATATATATATATATATATATATATATATATATATATATATATATATATATATATATAATTTTTTTTTACATTTTAAATAATTTCTGCAATTGCAAAGCTGACTTCAGCAGCCATTACTTCAGTTTTTCTCCAGTATTGCTTAATATTTTTTGTGAAAACCATTTTATTTTAAAAAGAATACTATTTTAAGCAGTTATTTTTGTAACAGTTTATCTGTCTTTATTAACACTTTTGTTTATTAAATGCATCTGCTGTTCATGTAATAAGTTTTTATGTGTAATACCAATAATATAAACATGTTTTTGGTACTTTTGATGGCTTTCTTTAGGTCTGTCCTCTCTTCCAATCGGGTCTGCAGATTGAGGAACTCACTGTAGCGCCGGTTCACCATATGACATGGGACAGGCTGATCAGATGCTGAACTTTCTGAATCTCCACCAGTTTCATACTACAAACACAACATAAAACACTCAACATCGATCTGTATTTAACATGATGTGCTTCATGTACAGTATGCATGAGAATCTCACCTTTACAGTGTAAAGAGTATAAGGATGAGTGCTGCTGCTTCTTTGCTCTTTAGCAGTGATGGTCTTAGTGATTTGCAAGTTTTTAATAGCCACGGGTCTGTCTAGATTTTCCAAGTTTTCAAAAACTAATGAATCCAAACCAAGGCTTCTGGGAATGGAGTTTGACGTGTGAGTCAGCGTTTGCACTGGAGACTCTTCTGCTGTACATTCTGGCTCTGAAATGATCATGTTTTGCTTAAAACACTTCCCCAAAAGACCTAACGTGTCTTCTTCCAGACACACCAGGCCACAAAAGTCTGAAGGTGAGATGCAATCGCAGAAATTCTCAGAATCTTTGTCTGTTTGCTTCAAAGACTCATTAGACATCCTCCTCTCATCTGAAGATGGTGATTCCAGGTCGCAGTCAGTGTGTCTATAGAGGCGGCTGGTGCGATAGGGAGATCTGAGCAGTTCAGCTGCATTTTGGGCTATTCTTTCTGGAAAAAGTATGCTGGAGCTTTTGCTTGCTTGCACGTTTTCTTCAGAAGACCATTGACTCTGAAAACTTGTTTCTGAGGAATCATGGAGAGGGGCTGTTGATGCAGACCAAGCCGTCTGCATGCTGGAGCTATCAGGACAGTCAAAAGTAATCGGAGAGTCACAGTCCCAGAAACTGCTATAGGATTCATCTAGATCAGATTCAGGTGTTTGCTGTGAGTCAATTGGTTCTTCTTTGCTATTGGATTGGGTGAACACATCTACAATGGTCTGGTTTAACCAATCTGGACTGGATGTTCTTGCCACAAGAGGCAGAAGAACATTAATTGTGAGGAGCTCACCAACCATGTAGCAGCCTGTTCGTGTTTCCAAATGAGATTTGGGAATAAGAATGTGCATTAGAAGATCTACCAGTGCTCTGGAGTAGCAGAGCTGGCTAGTTTGGTTAATCAGAGCAGGGTGAGGCAAATCAGTCTTGCAGTACAACCTCCAAAGCTTTGAACCCGATTGATCAGGCTCATCTTGAAGTGTGCGTTGGAGTTCCTTGGCTTGGCTGAAGCTCTGTAGATGGCATCCGAAAAGCTCAAGAACCCTCTGTGCCAGCGCTCTCTGGTCCACCTGCCTCGCCCTTCTCTTCAGTTCACCAGCTGCCTCCAGCATAGCATCCCTTACCTCCTCTATGAACTCCTCCCCTCCTTTAGAAACAGAACTGCAGTACCAGGATGTCACAAAGTCCCGCACAGCCTTGTCAACAGCACTCTGAATCTCCCAGTCCAACCTTTGTTCGCTCTCTGAGGCAGTGTGAACTTGCGTAGACTCACCCAATGGCAGGAAGTGCTCCAAATGAAGGAGGCTGTTGGCATCCAAAGCCACACGAGATCCCAGCCATCCACCCAGCACTACCAACAGACTGGTGAAGATGCACAGCAGCCACACATTCACCAGGAGATGAAACAGAACTAGCCAAGTTATCAGAACTACAACTCCAAGAATGCTTCTCTGCCCCAGTAACTCAAAGAGACTCCTTGGATTTGGACTGGCGACACCAGGCATTTTGTCACAAGTCTCTGAAAAGGGTGGACTTTCAAATAAATAAATGACAATAGTTAAATATGTGTTATTTGAGCAAATAGATTATGTTAGAAAGCTTAAGAAGTACTGGACAAAATTATTCTTTTGCAGACAAACATATATACATAGAAAACGTGATTTAAGTGTTTTGTTTTATTTTAATTATTTCATCAATATTATAACTTGCCTACATTATTATCACAGAGACTAGCACAGATGGTTGTAATGGTTTCCACTGCAGATACCATTAAAGCATTTCACACCATTACATTTTAACCTTTAATACCGATGCATTATAACCATTTCTAGTGTATTTGTGGACATGTTCTATTAGGATTTATTGGTTTTATTACACCATCAACAAAAAGCAAAACGCTACAGGTCCACAGGATCAATCGTTTTTATTGAAACTAATATAATTTCCAATATACCCATCAAAACCATTTGAAGTTCCCTTATGGGTTATATTGATTTGTTGTTGTTGTTTTTAGCAGGGATTAACAGAAGATAACTCAGTACATTAATAATAAAAATAGGGTCAACTTACTGTATCCGAGGTAGTACTCAAGAGAGAGGAGGGAGGACACAGTTCCCAGTGGTCATTAAATTATTTCAGTGACCACACTCATCTTCATTGCTCATCATCAGTTATAAGTTCCCAAAACGGTCTGCAATATTATCATTAATAGTGTTTGCACTTCATGTCGTTGCTGTCGACGTTTGGAGTCTAATCTACTTTACCTTTCAGTAATTAGATTAGCATCTAACAAGCTGTCAGACAGACTGAACTTCAAACGACTGAACTGCGCCCTCTATCACAGGATCTGTGAAGTTCAAAAACAATAACCCTTTCAATCCCAGATTGTTTGCACAATATTTTTACTATACGAGGGATATAAATGACAATAAAACAAAGCTTGTGATCATGTTTTATATCTATAAAATAATCTAATCTATATTTTGCGGTAATGGCTGATGTAGGCTGTTTCAGTAAAACAAATTAAATAAAATATATTTTTAATAGAATTAGTTAAGTAATGCATTTGAAAACTAAAATAAAGTTAAACACTTTGCTGGAATTACATTGCGGGAAACAGGTAATATCATTAACAAAAAGTATTAAAAAATAAAACATTCTATGTAAGATATGTGCAATGTGATATAAGTAGGCTATATATCTAGCTTACAGATTTTGTAAAAAATAATAATAACCCATACCATATATTTTCTACAACTAGCTATCTTTCAATCAATCTATATTATCCTGCATTATTTAACATTATTTAATCATTTCATCAAAATAATTCAATAGCAACATGTTTTTGCATGTTACAACTTTTTTAATGCTTAAATATGACACACAAGAAGAACATCTCAAATATATTCCATACACCACAATGCAGTATAATAAAACTATAAACAGAATATATAGGAGAACTATTTATTAGTTACAAAAAAAAGATAAAGAACTAGTGTATTTGTTCACAGGTTTATCCTTCAATTCTGAAAGTGCCAATTTAAACTGTTTCTCTGAACTCCTTGGTTTTGCAGACGTGTTTTTCCTGAAAAGGACAGATTTGTTTGTTGCACTCCCAACACGACTGAATATCATGATCTCCATCAGAGGTGCTACGATGGCAAAGTTCACAACCTTCGGGTTTCAGTTTACTGCGAATCAGCCGTCGAAGCTCCTTGCGCTTTTCGTGGTCCACACAGCACGCCACGTCAATCAGCTGGATGCGCTTGGGGTCCCACACACAGTCCTCCTCGCGGCCAGACTTGATGGTGGAGATGTTGCTGTTCGGGGGAACCCACGCGCAGTCGTACCCGTTGCTGTGCCAAGATTTCTGTAGAGGATGATTGTCACAGTCAATTTTCTTCACTTTCCCCACACGCACCTTTAGTTTGAAAACAACTTTGTCGTTCTTGTCGGTGTGAGGCGGGTAGCACTTTGCTTTATCAATGTTACGACTGACATAAACTCCGGCGCCCAGCAGTCCATCTTTAGAGGGTACGAATCCTGAATTAATGATGGTTTTAGCTGTTTTTAATAATGTGCCGTGAAACATTGTGTATGAACGGCCTGACTTCGGCTCCTGGTTCTCCGCCAGAGACTTACTTCGGTCTTTCATCGCTTTCCAGCCACAAAACGAAACTTCTTTCTCCATTCTATAAGATTGAATTGACTGAATTAGTGGGGTGTTTATGCCAAGTAGCTAATTTATATTCATATGTGTAAGTAAACAAATGCTCTCACCTTTTCTTTGCCACCCGATCTAATAGCTTCCGACTTTCGGTTTCGTTACTTGAGAAATATCCTACTAAAGCATCGCGAGATTTTAAAAGCTGTTGTCGATCCAACAAATCAAGTGTTACTCTTTTGACTGAAACACAAAGAAACCTTTTTTTAAGTCTTTGGCAATTCCCTGCTGAACTTTAAAAAGTAAGGTACAATTCAGTGGCGTCGCTGGTTCAGCCAAAGAACCTTAACAGCCAAAGACCAAACAACCTTTTCACTGCACAACTGATTCTTGGGAGTGGAAAAAAAGTTATTTGGATTTTAAAATGTTTTTCGCACTAAGAAAAAAAAAGTAATGTTAAGAGAAAGGTTCTTTGAAAAATCAATGTTTTATTCCCTTAAAGCCATGGCTTTTTAAAAAAGGTTTTTAAAAAAGGTTTGGCATTATGTTGAGTGTATCTTATATCTTATAAATAAGTAAAAGGATCTTTGTTGACATTTTCATTAAGAATATCATGACGTTTCCATTTGAACAAAACCTTTATGATGTAGCAGGTTTAGATAATCAAAAAGTTTTCATACTAAAATCGATCCTTTAGGAGCTGCAATAAAAGGTTATTTGGAAAACTAAGCATCGCTGACAAATAAAATTAACCTTATTTTTAACCCCTTTAACTTGCCCAACAGAAAAACTATTTAGATTGCATTTCTTAACTCTTGACGCTAGTTAACACTCATTGAATGTTTTTTCGCATCCCAATATCACATCCCAATATTACGCATCCCATAATTTCTAATACTCACTATTTGGTTGATATGTCGGTTTATGGTAAAAAAAAATTGAATTAATAAATGTACTATGAAAAGTATGTAAGACCAATTCATATATAAAAATGTGAATACTAAATCATCTTTATTTTTTGATTCATGCCATAAAATATTTCAGATTCTCATTTAACATTTTCTTGGTTTTCTTTTTACAATAAAACCAAAATCAAGTGTAGTAGTGAAACATAATTATGTTTTTATGATTTTATTGTAAACCAGCAATGCTGTGTGTGTTAACCAATATTTAAATCAGTCATTCTTTAAATGACTTTAACAGTCATTAATTAAAACTGTCAAAATATAGTTAATCATTTGGTAGAGCAGTTTAAAGGCTTAAGAATAAATACCTGTGAAAGAGCGTTTGTCATTTGGTTTAGTGTGTCCCCAAATCATAACATTTTCATTTTTATTATAGCCTATTAAAAGGTTATATCAGCAAATAGCCAACTTAAAAACATTTTAAATGTTTATAAAAGTGTGTTTAATTTTTATGTGACATCCACACACAGGTTTAAAGTCTTTACAAAGCCTATCCACTAGGGTACTCCATACCCTTAACTATAACTTCTTCCAACCAGAAAGTTTTTGGCGCATGGTCTCTTTATAAGAAAAATGTTGTAACCAGATGTTTATTCGTTTAATTAATACACTTTCCTCGTCTTTATCTAATGATATTCCTCTTTTTTCTTCCTCATTTCCTCGTAATCAACTTTTAATACGACTGTCACACTCCCCATTTTCAGCAGGTTTAATAGTGTACTCTGATCTACAGTAGATGCAAATTATTAAGAAACGTCTCCAAGCCAGTTATTTGCATTTAACCAAATCATGAAGGCTTCACAAGCGAAACCATGTGAAGGATATGAATAGAGGTGCGTGAGCTTGACCATATAGGCTACATGTCTAGTAGGTTTTAAAATCTCCCTTTCTTCCTTTGATATAATGACCGTGTTATGAGTTCTCCTGGAATAGAAAACAAAACGGAAGAACTGAGAGACCTGACAGCGATCGGCTAAAATTATGATGGAGACAGGTGAGAATTATTGACAAATAAAAATTATTTTCCTATTTATATTTACTTGATTCGATGTTGAGTTTTTAATAATGCATTAATGGAGTGGCTACTGTTGCATTAAACGTGCTCATGTCGTGTAAATAGGGTTTTTTGTAAGTTCTAACTTTAAATAAATGTTGTGTTAAAACCATTTGAAGATTGATTTACATTTGTTTCTTCGTCTAAATATATATGCATTTGAATGTAAAGTAACAAAGTAAATATAATAACTGTTTTACAAAAAAGCTAATTAAAATACAATCTGTCCAGTAGCCGAACACTGTAAATGAAAGGCTTTAGGCTATAGATTTTATAAGATTGGATAAACTATATAAGTTAAAGAAAAATCTGCACCTCTGCGTTTTTATTATATTATATATTATTTTATCCATGCATTTAATGTTTTTATTTGTGTATTAATTTATTTTTGCTCACTGAATATTTTAGTTTTTCTAAGAATGTGTCCGATTGAAAGTAAATGTTATCGACATATATAATGTGTGCGTAAATGTAGTCGTATCGGCAACTATAATAACAAATCAGATTGCAAAGCTTCTTTTTTTACTTTACTATGTCAAGTACTGACATTTTCGACTGTTAAGGATAAGTTATTATTAAATCAAGCTCAATTGCTGGCACACCCTCCACATATCGCAGAGGCGCGCGCACGCGTGTCAGAGTGAGAAAGACAAGATAGAGTCTTCCACTGAAAACAGACATTGGCTGTAATTCAGCTGCTAAACGACAAAAAACAGCTGTTTGCCCAAGGATCTGAATTTGAATTTCTAAAACCCTGACAATGCAGCATATTTCATTGTTTGCTTTACACAAAGTGTTTAGCTATGATTTTTCCTCAGGCTTGGGTGTGCAGCATGGTTAATATACTTCAGTTAAAATAACTTAAACAGATTTACAATAGGAGTTCACAAGAATAGCTGTGCTGTATTCTTTTGAAATCTAACATTAGTGTTATGCTCTGAAGGGAACATTCGGTATAAGATGAACATGTTGTCAAAGGTCTCTTTAAATAACTGAACTGTATATGGATAACTGATAATAAACAGCTTTGGTAATTACTATAATCTCTTTACTCACACAATTCTGACCCCTAAATCATGCAAACAACAGGAAAGAACAATAAGGCCATGAACCAGTTTCTTAACGAGACTTGCTCATAAAAAATGCACATTCATATTAGTCATATTTTATTGATTTGAAGATTTCATATAATAGCTCCTATTGGAGCTATAAAATGGCAAAGCAAAAAAAAAAAGTTGTTTGCATGCCTATAGTCCATTTAAAAATCAAATATGAATAAAAAATTATTAAATAATTAAAAAAGAATAATAAAATGTTTAGCAAAAAGCAGAAACTTTCCAAAAAAAAAAAAAACTTTCCAAGACTGGTTTACCCATATGCATGTGGTTTACTCTAGCAAGATCCACTGACAAAACAAATCCGAAAAATCAAAATGAATGCATGATCAGATATAAAATGCAAATTCAGGTATAATATTCTTCATTTATCAATGTGTTTAACTATAAAATACATATTTTTAAAATCATTTTTATAAATTCAACAATAAAAATGTCTGTAAAATATAAACAATTCAACTATGTAAACAAATACTTATTCTTTGACAGAATCTGAAAAAATGCATTATCATAGTTTTTGTTAAACTAGTTGTTGTTTATGTGAACACTGGGAAATTATGCAAAATATCCTTAATGCAAATATACCGTGATTGCAGAATTACTTTTTATTTATTTATTGGGTTAATTCTATCTGTAAAACATCAAACTAAGATTCATTTACATTGGTTAATGAATTCACAATGGAGGAAAACATATCCATTAACATGTACTAGTATATTATTCAAACTAAGCTTAATAGATTCTATAAATGAAAATAATGCTCTATTTTTAATGCTAGTAATTCACAAATAACAAATGGAAGTGTTTCCATTTCAGTAGGGAAATGCCTACATGATATAAGCCACTTTCAATGTGGACATTATTTGAAACAGACCAAGATAATTATTTATACATGTTTGTTCCCTTTATATCTTTGTTTGTTTACCTTTATTCTTGACAGTTTTCTCAAAGAACATCAGACTAACCGTTTTTACTGTTAAGCGTAGCATTTTTGTTTTGGACTATAATATATCAATAAAAACAGTGCACTTTTTTTGGGTGATGCCAGACTTTTCTTTTTAAACTGTAAATACACTTATTTTTCCCACAGAGTATTCCAAGAGAGTATACCAGGGAGTCCGTGTCAAGCATACGGTCAAAGATCTACTGGCCGAGAAGCGATTACGACAAACAAACACACCCCGATTCAGTGTAAGTTAGCCATCATGCACTGCATTGTCACCTGATATTCTTAAATATTATCTTAATCATGCCTTATCCATAAATGCGTTTCACTGTTTATTTTTTACAAAGTATCTAGCATTTGAATCCAGTAACTTGTTTGTACAAAGTATAAAGCATGAGTTCTCTCTCAGACAGTGTTCACAGCATCCATTCTTGTCATGTCCTTGTTACTATTAAGAGATAAATATCAGGCACACCTGCCAAAATCAGGCCGACCTTCCTGAAAGGGGACAGACAGGCATTGTTGTTAGACGGTTAAACCTAAGCCTTAACCAAGGGCATCATTGACGGATTTCCAACCAAAATACAAAAGAACAGACAGTCCTTGTGCAGAAGTGAACTCCTGCTGCAAGTTGTTGTCTGCTTTTGTTTGGTTTTGTCCCCTCATTGAAACTAATAGACCAGTCAGTTCATGCAAATTCATCAGACGGGGTGGTTGGCCTTAACATATATCTGAACAATGGTCTAGCAGAGACAAAGCTATTTCTTATTTCACAAAATACACAAATAGCGTTCATAAAGTACACCGTATAAATAGTCAAGTAATTGCCCTTACGAAATATCCATTAAAAAGAGGCACTATATTCATGCCACGTACTGACTGCAAGCCTCCAACAAAGAACAATATCTACTAAACAAATTAACTTAATTCCACTCTGTTCTTCCCAGCACTTGCAGAGTCATCTGGGATATGTTCCCAGTCATTCAATGATTTCTTTAGATCCTTGTGGCAAAATCTCATGAGAAGAGTAGACACTCCACCGGAGGGAAGTGTACACATGGAGCGAGGGGGAGCACTGTTGTGACACTGGCAAATCATATTCAAATATCCTCCCACATGATTTGCCTGGCTTTCAACAGAACAAGCACTAAAACCTGCGCCTTCCTCTCTTTTTCTCCATATTCTCACTGGCTGTAAATACAAAGGAGCCCACCGGGGGTTCTGTGTTTCTCTTTGCCTTTTTATATTACGGAGGGATTTGTGTATTTTCATTACATGCTTTCTTCTTAAAGGCGCAGTTCACTTGCGAAATGAAAATTTTGTCATTTATTCCACTCTCCAAACCTGTATAAGTTTCTTCTGTTGAACATGTTGGAGGATATTTTGAAATATTATATTGTTACATGAACAGTTGACTGTCACCATTGGCTTTCAAGAAAACCATGGAAGTCAATAGTGGCCACCAACTGAAAGTGGAAGTCAATTGTGAGAATTCTGGAAATGAACTATACTCCTTAAAGTGAAGTTAAAAACACACAGACACACTCTGTTGGCATCAATAATGAATAGTCTCTAACTTTCTGCTTTTCAGACAAGCAGCAGTTCCTCTCAGCCAGCTTTTGTGCCAATGCCCGGTGAGTCCGTCTGGTAGAGCTTATCCACGGTTATATCTGGCAGTTGTGCACAGTGAGAAGCTAACTCATCTTGAATTGGGGAGTTCACTGAATTTCCTGCTTCCTCTTGCAGGTTCGCATGTGCTTCCTGGTTACTACAGTATGAGAAGATCCTTCCTCCAAGACTCGGAGCTCTGCCATACTGTGAAGCAGTACTCCTCGGACACGTACTCTTCGGCACTGGGAAGCAAGGCCTTCTCATATGACCACGCTTCCACTTATCCTGCCTTCATCGACAGCTACTACACTCCTGATTCGTATGGAGATTACAGAGGGCCAACATCTTATACCACAAGCGGAGGGTCATTGTTTCCACCGTCTTCACTACCAACACTACTGCCGACTCTGTCTGGAGAGTCTTCATCACACTTGCTCTTGGTATATTCACACTTCCTACAGCTAGTATTGATTAAAGCCTTTTTAATGGCTCTAAATGGCCTTTCACGATAAGATCAATGACTAAAATGGTAATAGTAAAGACATAGTTCACAAACTCACAGAGGCAACACCACAGCTATAATTATAAAATATATATAATTGGCACAGATAAACAATATTACTGGAATGACTTTTAAAATAATCTGTAATAAATTTTTTAGTTCTTTATATTTAAATATTTTAATATTTACATACTTTTTTTGGTGATTCATATAGGATTTTTTAAAATAGTTTTATTAATAGCCAATAAGGATAGGAGCTACAAAAGATTTCTACTACAAATGAATGCTGTTCTTTTAAACTTTTATTTAGCAAAAAATCAGTGGTGGAAAAAGTACTGAAAAATCATACTTTCTGTAGGTAAAAGTTACAGAAAAAATTACTTGTCCAAAAATGAGGTGCAAGTAGAGTTGAAGTATCTGTTGTAAATATTACTCAAAGTATGAGTAAAAAGACCTTTCAAAAGTACATGCGAGTAGTGAGTATTACGCTGCATTTACATCTAATTTGTGGATGTGTGTAAACGTAACATTCTGTAGTGCATTTAGTTAATGCCCAGCAGAGACACAACGTCATAAGACGTTAAACCTTGATTTTAGGTTGTGTTAAAAAATGACCAAAATCCAACGTCGAGCCATAATCTTAAACCAACGTCATATTGACATCAAATACTGACATTTATTTGTCAGGTATGACAACCAAAATCCAACATCTGACAGACGTCATAATGGTAACGTCCATACAACGTCAAGCTGTTACATCATGAGACATTGATATTTGGTTGATTTTAGTTTGGACGTTGAACACTGACGTACACATTTTTAAAACTACTTAGCAAATTACAATTTCTGAGAAAAACTATTCGATTACAGTAGTTTGAGTATTTGTAATTTGTTACTTTACACCACTGCTGACAATATAAGTATGCCATCACAGGAATAAAAAATGTATGTAAAATATACAGATATAAAAAACAGTTCCTATAAATCAGAGGTGTCCACACTCGGTCTTGGAGGGCCGGTGTCCTGGAGAGTTTAGCTCCAACCCTAATCAAACACACCTGAACCATCTAATCATCTCTTGCCAGATATACCAGAAACTTCCTGACAGGTGTGTTGAAGCAAGTTGGAGCTAAACTCAGCAGGACACCGGCCCTCCAGGACTGAGTTTGGACACCCCTGCTATAAATTGTAATAATATTACTTATTTTATTGTATTTTTTACCAAATAAATACAGATTTGATTAAAACAATAAAGCATCTGACAAAACTCCAAACTTTTTAAAAGAAATGAGTACATATCAATACCTCAATGATGCCATTAAAATATCATATGTATTTTTTATTAAATTAATAAATTATAAATTAAGTTTTAAAAATAAATGTAAAAGAAAAAACAGATCAACTAATATCTGCAGTTACAGTGCTCGGCATAATTGAGTACACCCCATTTTGAAAGTGAATATTTTGATCCATTTCTCAGTGAATATAGGCAATGTATTTCGGTGCATTTAAACAAAACAGATAAACAGATGTATTTATTCAAATAATTGAATTGCTTTTCTTGATTTTTCCTCTTTTTAAAATTTGTATTTAATATTTTTTATAAGATATAAATTTAGGTGTTCTAGTTTTTAGACCGTTATCATAAGTTATTTTGTTAGTTGAGCTCCAAATTTGGCTTTAGTACTGACTAATCTAATGTATATGCACAAATATAATATTGTAAAGCTTCCTATTAAACATATAAATGTAAAAGAGAGATTTGTGAGGGGTGTACTTATATGTGCTGAGCACTGTATATACAGACTTTTTTTTTCTTTTTTTTTTTCAAGGAATAATAATAATCTGATTTTACACTCCAAACTCACTCACTCACACATTTTCCTTCAGCTTCAGGATGTTGTATCAGGGGTCACCACATCAGAATGGACCACCAATACCCCAAAATATTTATGACATTTTATTTAAATGCAGAAACATATTTTTAAATAAATTAATAGATGGAGCAAAACCCATTTAAGTGAAAATATTACTAAGCAATGATGTTTCTCTATGCTACAGAGAGACCCATGGGATCAGCCATCAGAGGACTCGGTCAATCAGACAGAAGTCTTATGTCCTGAGGCTGCAGCCCCCGTGGCAGACTCACCATCCCTAGCTGGGCCTGACTCAGGCAGTTCCTCTCCGTACCGTCTGACCTCTGGTCGGAGTGGGAGCTCCATCCCATCCAGCTCTCAGCCATATACTCTACAGCCTCTGGAGGACGTCCCATACACAGCACCATCTTACACCTCTGCCTCCAGCTACTCCTGCCCACCGTACATGTCGACTCCTGGAGATCTGGCTGTGGTGAAGATGACAGCCGTCACTTCAGAGGAGGCCAGTGGTGGAGTGGTGTCTCTCAGTGACACTACATCCTGGGCTAAAGATGATGGAACAGGATCCTGGTTGTCATATGAGACCAGAAGAGCTTTTTAAGAGGCCTCAATGACAATTACAGGACTGTGGACTAATCATTTTGCAATTATGCAGCCTCTCTATTCTTACACAAAAGGAGATTATATAGATTCATCATAACGATGAAATGCTGGTCATAAAAAACTGCATACCACATATAGATACAGTAAAACATGTGCTGTTAGTCTAGTTAATTCATGGTTTAATTGTGCATTTTTTAATTTCCAAGCGTTTTAGAATAAATTAGAGGTAATGCTCCATTTCCCCCTCTTTCTTACAATTCCAAGTGTAATATTACTCCCAAAAACGTACATTTTGACTGGAAACATAACATAAACCAACATTTTTCTGCTCAACAAAAATGGTAGCTCTTTGAAAAAAAACGTGAATTTGAAAAATAAATATGTTTTGGTTTGAAGAAAGTCTGTTATCTTCATAGAACAGAAGATCAAGAGCAGCTGTTCTGACACTGAACTCACCCCTCGACACGAGCGCTGTTGTCAGGACGCCACCGTGTTGATAAGTGAAGGCCCCCTTAGTGACAGGAGTGAATGAGGACACGAACACATCGCCTGTTCAAATTTCGCTCAATTTAGTCTATATACCGCTTTTAAATCATACGTTTTCAACCAATTAAAATATAAAGCTAATAAAAGTATAAACGAATGTTTTCAAACACACCCGTCTCAATAAGTTTTTGGGTTTTGTAGTAACTTTTAAAAGGGCTTCTACTGGTTAGCCACCACGTTGCTAGGCGCTTTTTGTTTTTGTTCCTCTGGACAGCAGCGCACGTCAAACTTTCTGAAGTTTGCTCAATCTTTGCGATCGTGTTAATCTTAAACTCCGTTTATCTTGATGACACCTACTAGTATTGGGTTTATGTTTAATTCTGTGCTCGGAAGTAGGAATGAAAATATAGACGTTGTTTTGCAGTAACGTTAGTCATAAGGATCAAATGAGAAAGTTTCCGCTGTTCACTAGCTTACCCTACTGCTTCGTTTAGCCCTAGCCTGTCATGCTTTCATTTGCTGTTCACTTGCGAAACGATCAATGAGGAGAAAACGGTCTAAGTTATGTGCTTAGCGGTACGTTTTATTCACTGAGCAACGTTTGTGCGTTTTTGCAACGTTAGTTACCTGTAAAGTCTTCGTCTCTGTCAACGTCGCTGGAGATGGATCAGTACCATATTTTGGAGGTTATCGGAGAAGGGTCATTCGGACGAGTGTACAAAGGTCGCAGGAAGTTCAGCGGCCAGGTGAGCGCTGCGTTTGCGTCAGAGGTTTCAAAAAGATATCTGTCTGTCTATCTATCCATCCATCATCCAGCCATCCATTCATCCATCCATCCATCCATTCATCCATCCATCCCATTTCTACAATAAAAGACAAACCTTATTAGGTAGAACGTATTTGGTATACATTTATTTTTTAATTAATTTGTTTGTGTCGTTGTGTGTGTGTTTATATTACTTTTTTTTTCAATTTAAAATTGTAAAGATTTTTTGTTCATGAAACTACTTCAGGTTATCATCTATACACACTTAAAGATATAGTTCATCATCATGCCATCAACAAACAGGGTTCATACGGTCATAAAATATCTGGAAAAGTCATGGAATTTTGACATGGCATTTTCCAGACCTGAAAAAGTTTTGGAAAAACAGAAAAACCCACAGAGTTTTAGAAAAAGTCATGAAAGACAAATATCTGTATACTTGAATATAGGTTAGTTGTCTTGACTTCTATTATGTCCTTGGCCAATCACATACTCTCACATTATGAGTGCGGTGTAAGCATTATCTAAATCAATTTTACATAGACATAAATTGAAACTAAGTAGATTGCTGCGTATTTTACGATATGCTGTAAGAAATTTGAACATGCTTTGTATTTTTTTACCATGCATATGTAGACATTGCATGAAACATTAGGTCATGATACTTGAAAGTCTTGGAAAAGTCATGGAATTTTAGTAATAAAAATGTGTATGAATCCTGAAAAGTATGTGACATTTATCCTTAAGTAGAATAGAAAACAATGAAAAAAACCCAAAAAAATAGTACTGAACACCTGGTTCATGGTGATACATAACACGCAGGTCAACAGCTAACGTTACTAACATTTTTAGAGTCAAAACAACATGACGCATGAGCTGACAAGCTTTTTACAAGCTTTTATATAGTTGGAAGCATTCATAATAAGCAAATTCATAATAGCGTTTTGGTGGACAGTACATCACACGCACGTCCTATTTAACAAACTCAATTTGTTTAAGTGCCCACGCATATGACTTTATATACAACCAAAAGCTTTGTTGTATATGCTCCGAATGGTTGTGAATGCTCCAAGGACCCTTTGGAGAAGCTGTAAATTTAAGGTAAGCAATGTTCAGTTTCTTGGACAGACTGATCGATTTGACTTTTAAGACCTCGTGTGTCATTAGGGCCTACAAGTATTCATTCAAATATGTTTTTGTAAGACTTTCAAAGTGGCGATGGCATTTAATGAATCACCAAAGACCACAGCTAAAAAAAATTACTAAAGAGAGAAGTTACATATGCTTAGAACACCCCAAGGGTGAATTATTCAACAGCTCAAATTCCCTTTAAAACACTTCTTTCTATCAGTTATAGCAGTAAATCTCTTTCTGTGAATAACATCAGCCATTTTTATTTTCTAGGTTGTGGCTTTGAAGTTCATTCCCAAAGTTGGCCGCTCAGAGAAGGACCTGCGCAGTTTGAAAAGAGAGATTGACATCATGAGGGGGCTTAAGCATCCCAACATAGTGCTGCTTTTAGACAGTTTTGAGACAGAGAGGGAGGTATGATTGTCACAGCCTGCTCTCCAAAGTCATGTTACATTTTCTACTGTTGCATCTCTGTTCTTATAACCTGGTGCTTCCAGTATAACGGCTTGTTGAATTGATACATAGCTCCCAGGGTTCAGGATTTTAACATTCAAATCTCCAGGGAACGATTCTTGTTGGCAAAATGTAATATATGTTTAGACGTTGGGATATTGGCATTGGTACAAATGCAGTAAGCGTGGGACTTTGATCGTCCCATAAAATGTTTAACTGAATAAAGAATTGGGTAAAAAAAACTGAATTTGTGTGTCAGAGGAATAATTACAGCATGTATTCCTCTGGCAGGTGGTGGTGGTGACAGAGTATGCAGAGGGGGAACTGTTTCAGATCCTGGAGGATGACGGGAGTTTACCTGAGAAGCAGGTACACATGGTGGCACTGCAATGTTTTAGATTTGTTGTTTAGGGCAGTGTTTCTTAACTATGTTCCTGGAGGACCACCAGCTCTGCACGTTTTCCATGTCTCCTTAAACAAACACACTTGATTCAGATCATCAGCTCATTAGCAGAGACTGAAGACCTGTAAAGCTGTGGTCACACTACACTTTTCTCCCCACAGACTTCCATTCATACGCACACAAATGCGTCAGACCGAAAACGCAAGGTCATGTAGTTTTGTAGTTCGCTGCATTGGAAAGTTCAAGCTTGGTGAACTCTGACCTGCAGAATCGCATCACATGATTGCGTGAGACTAATCGAGGATCAAAACATGACCTCTATGGACAGGAATTTAAAACATGGACCAATCACTCGCTTTTTTTTTTTTTCAAGAGTTCACACTTAGCTGATGATTGATAATTAAGCTAGTTTGGCGTGCTGTCCCGGGAGAGAGCCCCGAGCTTATAAGATCCTCGAGCCCTGGGCTCCCTCCCGATGCAAGGCGAGAGGGGAGTTTGAGCTCAGGTAGATCTCGATGACTCCCCCTCTTGCTTGTTGTAGCTAAGTGTCAGATATGGATGCTGAAAGGTGTACTCAGAGTTTAGCTAAAGTATTTGGATTAATTGTTTAGAGTGCTTGTTTTTGAACTGTGGGAGGAAACCGGAGGACCCAGGAAAAACCCACGCGACCACAGGGAGAACAAGCAAACTCCGCACAGAAATGCCGTCTGGTTTGAAAAGAAATTAAACCAGGGGCATTCTTGCTGTGAGGCAACAGCGCCAATCGCTGGCCACCGTGACGCCCATTTGAAAGGAGGGAAAGTAGGGTTGGGTGGGGGGGTTTCTTCAAGACGAAGATATTGAGATGAGAAAAGTCTGGTTATTTATAGTGACTTAAGGATCGTCTGATAGGATAATCAGTCATTAGCTAAAGTTGGAACAGCTGTGAACAATCATAAGCACGTGATCCTCTCGAAATTTGTTTATAAATAAACTTCAAAATGTCTAATCATCTTGTTTAATCCCGCCCCTTTTCGCAGTGCTGTATGACAGAATTTCGCACGCACAAACTCTTGTGTGACTGCAGCATAATGGCTGTTACAGACAAAGGAGACATCTAAAACATGCAGTGTTGGTGGTCCTCCAGGAAGGTGGTTGAGAAACACTGGTTAAGGGTATTATTTTAGTATCATTCTAGACTAGACTTCTAGACACTAGACTTTTAATCTAATTTTGACTGTTTGAAATCCGTTTGCACAATTACACAAAGAATTGCTTTGTTGTATCAACCCAAATTTGCATAAAATATAGATAAACCCTATTGTTTGATTCAAAATATAGTACAGTTTTTTTTTAGAAAGAAGTACTCTGCTGTTCAGTAGTAACAGGCCTAGATTTCTGTCATAATTTATTCAAGTTGAACCATTTTTGTTTCAGGTTGTTGTGAAGAGTTTCTTTGTGTACATGATATGACCCTATTTTTTCATATAAATAGTAAATGCAGAAGTCTTATTAAACAAGTTGTTTTTATGGTTTAGTTTTTACAGACTCTAGTCCATAGGTATCAAACTTAATTCCTGGAGGGTCGCAGCTCTGCACAGTTTTGATCCAACCTTATCAAACACAGCTGATCCAAATAATCGAGGTGTTAAAAGAGTCATGTACACCTCGATTATTTGGATCAGCTGTCTTTGGGTGGAACTCCAGGAATCGAGTTTGAGACTTAAAGTCTGTATCACAGTTTGATTAAGTGCACCAACCTTTAACTTCTTCATATAAAATTTGCCAAATTTTGGGTTATTATACATCAAATTCCCTCTGTATTTTACACATTTTGAAAATCAAAAGACACCCCAGCTAATAACATTACTTGATGCATATGAAATGTTAAATAGGACAGTGTTTCTCAACCATGTTCCTGGATGACCACCAGCTCTGCACATTTTCCATGTCTCCTTAACCAAACACACCTGATTCAGATCATCAGCTCATTAGCAGAGATTGAAAGAACTGAAATGGGTGTGACAGTCAAAGGTCACATCCAAAACATGCAGTGTTGGTGGTCCACCAGGAACGTGGTTGTGAAACACTGAAATATGCCATACATATTACCGCAAACATTCACACTAAAGTAAATGTGCTGTTGTGAAATGCACACAGTCCATTACTTCAGTTTG